TACATAATAAATATACATATTTTATTATTATATATTAAAAATTTAAAACAAACATAAATAAAACACTTGGATTGCCTAGCCCGTACTACGATCGACGTTTCACACGCACGCTCATCGTACCTACGTCCTCGCCGAATCACTCAGCGACAACAGGACTGCCGTGCCTGCGAGTACGGCGCAGCGGTGTTATAATATAGAAAATAATATTATTGTCGCCTCAGCACATCTTCCTTCGCTGGCCTGACCTATGTCAATACTATTTACAATTTAAAATATTCTCACCTACATTACATATATATATATTTTTTTTTTCCTGGATTAATCGAGAGCCGGAGAAGGAACTGTTGCTCACATTAGTCACATTGCTTCTTCTCCGGCCCCCATCGTTTATTGCACATCAAACAAATTTAAATACAATAACTGCGCCCTTGGACGCGCTCCCACGACCTGGCAGCCCTTCCTTAGCGATTGCTAGTGTAGTATGCGGCTGTCAGGGAGTGTTACTCGGGGAACTAACATTTCAAGATGGTTGCTTAAGGCGTTGTCTTGAGCTGGTGGTTGACTATCTTTACGGCCCGGCGCTTAGCCCGCCGGCCTTGAAGTCTCGTACAGTCCCGTCTTCCCGGCTTTAAACCCGCCGGTCTCGTGTTTCACTCCGGTCCTTTGCGGCCCGGCGCTGCGGTCAGTCGGCCTGGAGTCTCGTTCAGGTCATCGCCTCCTTGGTTGTCCTCGTTCCAGCGCCTGTCGAGCTCTTTCTTCTTCCTCCTTGAGGCTCATTATGGACTCGACCATCTTGTAGAAAAGACGGAGCCTTTCGCCAGCCTCGGCCAGGAGGATGGCTCTCTCCTCGAGGTCCGCGGGGAGGACGTCGAAGTCCGGTCCGCACAGTATTTCGGGGAGATCGGCTGGTGGCCGAGCCGAGATTCAAGTTCCGCGCGATGTCCGGTCCAATATTCGCACGCAAAAAGTGTGTGCTCTGCTGTGTCGGAGTTCCCAGCACAGTGGTTGCAAGTGGCGCTGGGGGCCCTGTCCATCCTCGCCAGGTACTGCTGAAAGCAGCCGTGGTTCGTCAGCGCTTGGGTCATGTGGTACGACGAGGGCACCGCCACCACCGTTCTCTCGATCCACCTCCTGACGTTGGGTATCACGCGGCGGGTCCACTCACCTTTCCTGCTGCTTTCCCACCTTGTCTCTGCCAGAGCGTGAGGGTCGCCCGTCTCTCCTCACGCTTGATGGCCGCTTTCGAAGTGCGGACTGCCCCGGAGTCCGGGGCTGCACATAGCCGGTCTCTGATCCTCATCCTTTCTAGTGCCACTAGATCCGCCGGTGGCATGCGCGCCAGCAGCAGGGTTGCCTCATCGGAGACGGTTCGGTAGGCCCGTATCACCCTCAGAGCGGCTGCCCCCTGGGGCCGAATCAGACTTGGACTTGCCTTTGTAGGACGGCCTACGGCCTATATAGAGCTCCAGGCTTTGCCTTTTATCTCTTGTTTCATGTTTTTCCCTCACAGTAGTGGACGATTCGTCAGTTTGTCATGGTTTATTGGGTCAGAGCCCGAATGTGACGGAATCTCGATACAGAAGCTCTATGTAAAAATACAGCTATTGCCGACTGTATTGTTTCCGAAATGGATAGAATATCGGTTGACTGTCTTATTGCTTCATTTGTGGTTAGGTAATATGCTCCGGTTATTGTTCTGAGTGTAATGTTTTGGACAGCCTCTAGCTTTCGCCAGTTTGATTGGCTAAGTTGAGGTGCCCAAACGACGGATGCGTACAGGAGGATTGGTTTGATGTAGATGGTGTACAGTTGGATTCTGGTCCTTAGTGGAATCGGGGAATTTCGGTTCAGTATTGGGTAGAGTGAGGCTCTGACTCCTTTTGCTTTTTGTATAGTAGTTTTTAAGTGTCCATCGTTACGCCGAGGTATTTTATTTGGTTTTTCCATTTGACTGCTTGGTTTTTGATTTTTATTTGTCGAAGATGTTTATTCTGTCTACTTCCAAAAATAATGGTTTTGGTCTTGTCAATATTTAATTTAAGTCTCCATTTGTCTATCCAGAGCATGGTCTGATCCATTTGTCTTTGTAGTTGACATATTGCGTAGTTCTTGTTTTGATGGGCCGTGTGGAACATGGTATCGTCTGCGAAAATGGATGTTTGTATTCTGTCGAGAAGTGGGAGATCATTTACATAGTGTATGTAGAGTAGAGGTGAAAGGCAGGAACCTTGCGGTACTCCTGCTTATATTTGTCTTGTCGTTGATTGTTGGTCAACTACTCGTACTTGGAACGAACGATCTGATAAGAATGATTTAATTAATTTGATTGTATTTATTGGAAGTTCGGTGTTAGTTTTTAATTTGTAGATTAGACCATCGTGCCACACGCGGTCGAAGGCCTTCTCCATATCTAGAAATGTTGCAACAGTGTAGTTATTTTGATGTTGATTGTTTTTTATGTCTTTGAATAGACGGAAGAGTTGTGTGGTGGTTGAGTGGCCTTCTCTGAATGCGTGTTGCTCCGCCCGAGGTTTTACGTATGTACGCAGAGTTCCCAGGATAATCTTTTCAAATACTTTTGAAATGGTTGAGAGTAGAGATATTGGGCGGTGGTTTTCTGGGATGGAGTGGTTTTTCCCCGGTTTTGGAATCATGACGATAGTGGCTTTTTTCCAAATCTTAGGGAAGTAGGAAATTCGAAGACATTCCGTGAAAATTTGTGCTATTTGTGTGATAATGTTGTTTGGTAAGTTTTTGAGTGCTGTGTTTGATATGTTATCATATCCTGGTGATTTGCCATTTGGTAGTTTATTGATGGTGTCTAGGACTTGCTTGGGATTGATGTAGATGTTTGATTTCTGTGATGGTTTCGTTTACTTCTTGTAAGTCAATTCCTGTATTCCCTGTGAATTAGTTTTCCATGGTGTCTGCGAATAATTCTGCTTTTTCGTCGGCTTCAAATATCTTGTGGCCAGCAGTTGTTTGTAGCGGCGTGTCTGTGGCTTTCTTGTTGAGGAGACGGCGGTTTAGTTGGTATAGTGATTTGTTTTTGAAGTTTAATGTTTCTGTGAAAGCGTTCCATTGCGTTTGTCTGTGTTCAATTAATAAGTTTTTAACGTACGCAATTTGAGCGTTGTATAGACGTTTTGTTCTCGGGTCTCTGGTGGATTGCCACATTTTCCTAAGTTGTCGTATGGTTATTATTTCTAACATTATTTCATCAGGAAGTTGAGATATGATTTGTTTTGGTTTGAGAGTGTAGGAAGCATTTTCTTGTGCATTTCGAATGGTGGTTGTTAGATTGTCGATTTTGTTGTCAATTTCTTCCGGTGTTTGAACGCAGTCGATTTTTATTTGGGAGAGTTCTGTTTTGAATTTGGCCCAGTTAGTTTTCTTAAGTATTTTAGGTGGGTTGTTTGAGATTGGTGATGCATTTAAATTTAATTGGATTGGATTGTGGTCTGACGACAGGTCATTGTGATTTATTATTGTATATTGAATTGACGGTAGATCCAGTAGTATGATGTCAAGGACGTCTGGACGATGAGTTTGAATATATGGATAATGTGTCGGTGAATCAGGGGCAACAATTGTATAATTGTTTGCTTCCGAGTGGCGAAGTAATTTTCTGCCTGCAGTATTTGTTGAGAAGCTGTTCCAGCTCGGATGTTTGGAGTTTAAGTCTCCGGATATTATGAAGGGTCCATTGTGGTTTGTTAGAATGTTTAGGTCATTGTGGTGGAGATTTGCACTAGGACTTTTGTATACTGCCGTGATTTGTGTTAATTTGTTTTTGAGTTTCAATTGTATTGTGGTAGATTCCACAGTGGTTGGTAGCGTGACGTGTTGATGGGTTATATTCTTCCGTATTAAGATTGCTGTTCCTCCTGAAGAGGGAGCGGTTGATGTTTTTGGGCGGTCGGTTCGGTAAACATGATAATTTGGTATTAATATTTTATTTTTGGGGTTTAGTCGGGTTTCACCAAGTAGGATTATGTCGATTTTGTTTTGTTTTACAAATGCGGTGAGTTCTGGTATTTTGTTTTCGATACCGTTGCAATTCCATGAGATGATTTTGAATTCATTCATCATGGGATGTGGGTATGGTGTTGATTATATTTTGGACTGTTGTGATGACTGCATTCTTTGATGTAACGTCTTCACATTTTTGGGCTGTAGTAAGGAGGTCTCTAATTATTTGTAAGAGTTTTAATGTGTCAATTGGGAGTTCGGTTTTTCCTGTTTGGTGTTTTGTTGCAGCCGCGTATGATTTTGTATTTGTTTCTTTGGCTTTTTCATGTGATGTAGATACTGGTATATTTATTGGTGGTACTTTCAACTTGGATTCCTGGATGAGTTTGGTTCTTATGACGTCTCTGGATTGGTCGGTCTTTTCTTTGCAAGTATTAGTGTAGTAGGGGCAGCCCCTATAGTTAGCAGTATGTTTACCATTGCAGTTACAGCAGGTTGGGCTATCTTTTTTCAGTTTTGTGCATTCTTTGCTAGGGTGGTTTTTTCCGCATTTTACACATCTTGGCGGGTGCCCGCACTGAAGTGATGAGTGGCCAAATCGTTGGCACAAAAACATTGGGCATGACCTGTTGACTTGTATGACTCTATTTTGACTCGGACGTAGAATAGTTCGGTTATTTCAAAGATTTCTTTGACATTTTCTGTACGTATTAAGGAAACCATGTGGATCGGAAGTCTCTTTTCATTTTTGGCAAAAGGTCTGACAAAGTTTGATTTGAACCCCATCTCTTGGAGTTCTTCCATAAGTTCTTCGTCAGTAACGTCAAGTGGGACACCTTTGATTACAATCTTGAAAGATTGTTCTTTGGGTAATACAAAAGTGTGGTAGTTGATTTTGTTAGTGGTCATGAATTGTTGGACGAGTCTGAATGAAGATTCTTCAGGGCAGTTTATTTGAATTTGTAGTGGTACTGATGTAGTTTTCGCAGTTACTTCGTCAAGACCTTGCATTGTATACATGGCTGATGCTATCTTCCGCCATGGATATGAAGCGCAAATTTGGACGAAGATGGGCGGATTGAGCGTTTATTGACGGATTGTGGGTCATTTTTATGTGGTGTTTTGTTTACCTCGTCGGTGTCCGAAGAAACAGATGAAGTAGACAGCGTATCACTGTTATCATTAGAATCGACATGTTCGGATCTGTCCGCAGAAGCGGAACGAGAGCGGTTGTTGTTGTCGGTGGTAATAATCGTGTCCGGAATTGATGGATAGTTGGTTGCCTTGGTCAGCTTCTTCGAAGTTGATGGATTTCCAGGAGGTGAGACGGAGCTGGATTGGCTTGCCTTGCGTTTTTTCCCGGTGTTTGATAAGTCTTTAACTTGTGGGTTTGATGGTAGTGGTGGTGGTGAGAAAGCCTGAGTTCGACCTTCCTTTCCGATGGTATAAGGTGGTGTTGATTTGTGTTTGTAGCCTCCAACGCCAGCCCGGTGAGTCATGGTTATGTGCGAAGATTGGAAACCCTAGCAACCGGTGCGTGACCCAGCCGTGGCACCCCTTAGGTGCTTTGCCTCGTGGTCGAGCAGGGGGGGATATAATGAGTTTTCTACTTACGTAGGTCTGGAATGGATTGAAGAATGGTGTCTGATCGTGTTGCTCATTCAAAGTAGGAGTTGTCTAGATTGCCTCGTGTGTCTTATCGCGGACTGGACTGGACTGTTACTTTTGACTGATGATACTGATTGATCGAATCAGATTCGCCGTGGTTACACATATATTAAATATTATTATTTTGATGACTGTCTACAACATACGACAGCTTATTAACACTATGACCGTTCGGGATTTCGGGACATCCCGCTACACTATTGAAACGTACGTGTGTAAGACGGAGACAAACGGTTGTGCTGGTACGACGTCTTTTTTAACGTTGTATTTAATTTCGGTCCTTATCGTCTTCACCACAAAAATATTTATAAAATAAAAATCGACGGACGATGTAATTTTGACGTACTTGTTACATATATGTTAGTATTATTACTGTTGGCCATTGTGTTAATTGAGAATCAATAATATCGTATAAATAGAATATTCTGTAAAACCGCCGATAACCGATACGCGCGTGTATTGTTTGTTTATTGTAAATCGTGATTAATGAAGATATTTTTTATATTCACAGGCATATAATGATATTATCATTTTATTGACTATTTAAAAACCAAATTTGTTTTGGTATATTATCAGTTATCACAAATTATTTTTTAGCTTATATAGTATTCATTATGACATGTGGTTGTGTGGTGTGGACGTGTCTTGTGATAGTATTTAGACGACAGTCGTCTTACTTAATTAATTAAAAGACAGTGTCTAATTTGTTTCATATTATTTGTATATGTAAAGAACACGCAAATCACAACGATGTCAAAGAAGGTAAGTTTTAAAATCATATAGTTGGATATTATTTAAAATAATATATTGTGTTTTGTTGGTAAAAATATTTGTATATAAAGGCCCATGCCCTACGGATACTGCGCTGGTAGTTTTTTTTTTAAAACTGCCTGATGGCTTTTTACTATAACGATCAATGATCTTTAACAATACATTTCAGAGGTATACATAAATATAAGATACTAATGAATAATATTTTGTAGATATATATAAACAAAAACATGTTTGGGTTATCACTCCCAATGGAGAGGCCCGGTCAACTGCTCTGGTAGTGGCAAAATTAAACTAGCCAGCATTTACATTTTACTACTACCGCGGTGACCGGGCAACGCCAAAACAAAATAATTTTACCGCTATACCGGTTAGGTACTCAAAAAGTATATAAAATTATAAATTATATACATTTTTCCTATATGAATTAATATCTTCTTCTTTTTACTTAAAAGTCGATACATCAATATTTAATTGTCTTAAGAGACCAACATATGTACATAAAATATTTTTTTCGCTAAACAATTTCTTACTAACCGGCGTATTAAGGTTTACTCGAAGCTTTAATCTTGTGTGATAGTGATGTTTAGATTTATAAGCATCAATATTTTTATCAAAACATTATGAAATAACGCCATAAATATATAAGCTAGTTATATTTTTGATATTTAAATCAATATATAAATATGCAACATGATAACCATAATATGGTTTTTACTTTTTACTTTTTTCAATATAAATCTCAATAACGAATTGTAACATTGAGTTTATGCATATACACGTCAGCAGAATTACCCCATATTACTAAACCATAACATAATATAGATTATACTAAATATGTATATTATACTAATAGTAAATAATTAATATTAAAAATTTATCTTAGTGTTTTAAATCGATAAAAAATGTTCTTAATATATTAGTTATGTATTTAATCTGTAGATCCCATCTGAGATGCTGATAAAAATTAATTTGTTGAATTTACATTAATAATTTTATCATAAACACAATTAACTCCAACATAATTTATAGTAGGTATGCATAAATAATCTTTAAATTTATCATATATTTGAAAAAAAAAATTATTTTATATACTATGATTTAATTATAAGAAATTATTATCAAACCAGTTTTTAACAATTGTTAGCGTATAATTAGCAGAACCATATATACCAGCGATCCTTTTATGACAGACCAAACTAATTGTACCATCAGCAAAACTAATTATTTTATCGGGCATATATGTATATAATAGATATTACGCCGAAATGAAATTTTTTACCTGTAGGAAATCTATCGATTGCGCCGAGTATCAACTCTTCCGAACATTTTTACATATTGATCCTACCGGCTATCAATCCACTGAATATTTATAAATTATTTATTTTAATAAGAACAACATGTAAAAGCTAGGCTTACATGTATATTTATGTTAATGATATTTTATTAGGTATATAAAATATGTTTTATTTCATTAATACATCCTATAACGCAGTAATTATATGATAATTATTTAAATAACAAATAGATAATATGTAGGTACCCATAATTTTACATAGTATATTTCATTATTTTTATATTAGGTATATAAATCTATTTAATAAAATGACAATTTTATTTAAATTTGTAAAAATAATAATCTCTAGGTACCCTAGGTAACCTATAGGCTATATATAAGGTACCTATGATATTTTATTGTTTTAACAAATTTTACATTGTATTTTATTGTTTTTTTTCTCTCATAATATAATATGTACAATTGGGTTTTATTGTCAGTTGTAGACAAAATGTTTGAACTGTTTTTTGAAATATTTTTATTTAAATTAAAAAATAAATTTACTGTTATACTATTATGGTAAACTGTGTGTACCTAGACCGTTTTTTTTGATGAAATATTTTTGCTTAAATTTAAGTTTTTTAAATGCTTCTTTGAGTGCTTATAATGATGTTTTTAAGAGCTTGTTTTAATGATTTTAAGTGCTATAAGTCCCGAGCCTTGGTAATTAGTAATTACTAACATTTTAAAATTATTTAGACTCCAAAATCTACTTAACCTATTACCATAGGACATAAACATATTATTATTCTTAGTAACTTAACCCTGTTCTATCTATTTTCAATATTGTTTCTTCTTGAGTTTCAATTAAAATTTTAATAACAACATATTATATTGCTAAATGATTTCTATATCTACAGATTATATTAGCAATAATATAATATTAAATACTTAAACCATTTAACTATGTTTGGGTTCTTATTGTTAAATGTTAAAATACATTGATTTAATATTATTGTATTTATACTTCGGATCAATATAATTTTACTTACAACGTACGTCGTAAGATTATTAAGTACTATTGTATTAAATTTTTTAATCGTTGAACACTATTATGATAATCTAGTATTACCTTGAACAGTACAATATTGTCTTATTAAAAACCTTAAGAACACCCATATGAATCATTATAGTCTTTTAATACTTAAAAAAAATATTTTTCTTATAAAATATAAATTTTATTTTTATAAAAATTTGTAGGTTGTAAAAGCTCTTGGGAGGAAACCGTTTGTTAACTCTGATGAAGTATTTGCAAAGTTGAATAGTCGCATAGATGAGATATTTACGAATGTGGGTCAACTTCAGCCGATTTCATCAGAGATTTGGAAAATTTTGTCAACTGATCTTGACCATGGAATTACCGCTGACTCTCTGTATATTTCTGTATACCAAAATAGACACTCTTGGCAATCAAAACTAAAAGAAATTGCTGGTCTACATTTTGAGTCAATTATAAAGCATTCCGACATTACCAGTGATGCATCTGATAATTCATCTGATTCAATACAATCCGAAATAAACAAAAGATTATATAATTTTTCACTTTCCTATAAACATGTTTTGAAAATTAAACCGAAACCAAAAGAATATAAGGATAAGAATACAACAAGAGTTTATAATGTACTAGAGGCTGGAAATTGGACCGATATAGTTTATGATAATTTTTTTTAAAAGTATCGTCTACCTTGTAATTTTATATTCAAACGTGGCAAAGTAGCCCGTGATCATTCTTCAGCGAGTAAATATATACAATTTTGGGGTTCATGTAAAGACTGTTCTAACGAACTAAATGGATGGTGTGATAGAAAACCCCATCCCGGTGAACCATTGAAAATAAATATTTCTACTAAAGATACTAGAGGTAATGCTATAAATCATACATCAAAGGGACCATTAAAGGGTCATAAAATACGAAAAATCGGTAAACAATTATCAACGAATTTGGCAAGCAACTGGAGACGTGAAAATGCAAGAAAATCGATGAAATTTGGGGAACAATCACCTCCAAATTTGTATAATTATGAGGTTTTAAGAAAAACAAAACAAGAAATTAAAGACAAGGATCTAGGTATTACAGTTAAATGTCCACTTATGTCACTAGTGGAGTTAAAAAGAAATTCGTCGTTTTCAAATGACATCCATGCAATTGGTATAGATCCTATTTTTGTACATTTATTTAGTTAATTATATTAATAATTGGAAACTGAAAATGTAAATTACCTAACAGTTCAAAACCAAATCAAAATATTTTAAATTAATTATTTATATATTATTAATAATATAAACAACCAGTGAAATTAATTTGAAAAATATCGACATATTTCCCGAAGCGATCGGACGAAGTCGGGGGGCGGACGAAAAAACTTGTAAAATTCACCAAAAAAAAAATATTGATTTGCAAATTCTAAAAATCAATTTGTAATTATTTGCAATTAATTTGCAAAATATTGACATATTTCCCGAAGCGATCGGACTAAGTCGGGGGGCTGGCGAAAAAACTTGTAAAATTCGCCAAAAAAAGAATATTGATTTGCAAATTCTAGATATCAATTTGCAATTATTTGCAATTAATTTGCAAAATATTGACATATTTCCCGGACAAAGTCGGGGGGATGCGTGAAGTTGGCCCCCCGTAACGGTTTTTCGCTTATTATATGTTAACGAGTTATTTGCAAATTCTGAAAACCAATTTGCAATTATTTGCAATTAATTTGCAAATTATTG